GAGTTTCGTGTACATAGATTCATTTCATTTCATCAAAGATTAATTGTCAGCTGGTTGTAGATTCTTCCCGGACCCTGGGAGAGGACTATCGAGGGGCTGGACCCCCATAGTCCTCTATACCAACTGCTGCGTCCCGCAGCAGCCAGTTAAGGTTTAGAGTATGACCCTTAATCAGGCGACCAAAGTCTCTCAAGGTGAGGCCAAGCTTCTGTCTCCTACCTAAGCACACAGCACTCACCATACTCTCTATCCCCTTGTGTACATTGAACCACTTAACAAATCCTCGCAGGCCGTGCCCTACTGGACAAGGTCTCAGTCTGTTGAGAAATACAGAGAAGCAGGCTTGAGCCCTGTGAGTGGCTTTCTAAAGGACGTACCAACCTGTTAGTAGCTCTCCTTAGCAGAACTTGAGGAAACTTCTCTGTTCACAGTTGGTTTTTGTCATTTTGAGATAGGGGTCTTGCTCTAGCCCAGGCTGGCCTCAAACTCTCTCAGAAATCCTCTTTCAGCCTTCTGGATGTTGGGATTACAGGCATGTGCCATCCTGCCTGGCCCACTTACAGTCTTAGGGACCCAGAGGCTGTAGCCATATCATATCAGGGGTGACAGGGAGCTATCCTCTTTTCTGCTGCCTAATTTGAGGCTGTGTGCAGAGGGTGTGGGTAAACAGGAACTACAGGGTTGCAGAGGAGGCCTCGACTCTTACAAGGAATACCTTTCAGGGTTCCAGACCACCAGGACATAGCTTTTGGGGCCTTGCAGCAGGGAACCAACTGCTTGGACACACTGGGACACTTTGCTGACGGAGTCGTTGGAATTTATGAATGTCACAACGCTGGAGGGAACCAGGTAGGCGAGCAAAATGCTTGCAGCTGCGGGCCCAGGGCTCTCAGCTGGAAGCCCTGGAGTCCTATGGAAAGTCCTGGCACTGCCAGCAACCTCAGCACCCGTGGTATTGAATGTGGCCTTAAGCTGCTCATCTGCTTTGGGCTGTGCTGCAGTGGCAGGGACACACTGGTAGAGGGTGACATCGGCACCTGTTGTTCAGGCTGACTTCCTTCTTCTCCCTGGCCGCTTCCTGTCAGCTCTCACCCCTGCGATAGCCACCCCACAGTCCCAGACCTGCGTCAGCACCCATGTTTGTCACTGATGTATCGTAAACTGGTCCCCGCTTAGGAGGCGCTCAGCTTCAGCCTCTTCAGGTGGAGCGGCAATGATGGTGATGGCCAGCAGGGCTTGGACGCCCATCCTTGGCAGACTTGGTGATTGGCACAGTTCACCACTCAGCCTGGGATACCTCACCCCACAGGCGCGCTGAGGTCCAGGACCCCCCTCTAGTGCTACCCTGGACCCGTGTGCTGTGCTACAAGTGTTCTAGAACCGCAGCCAGCAGCCGCCCATGCACACGAGCCCCTGAGGTGTGCCTGCTGTGAATTGAGTCTTCCATTTTATTTAACTCTACTGAATTTGAATTCGGTCTGCCATGCAGGGCGGGTGGCTAGCACTCTGGTGCTTGGAGGGGACCTAGAGGCAAAGACGACACCAGCAGTCCCTACCACGACCAGGTGTCACATGCCACGCGGGTGAGACAGAGTACTTCCTTGACTTTAAGCAGCACGGTGCTTGCAGCCTGGTGAGGGCTCTGTTACCTGGTCTCCAGCTCAGCCTCAGCCGCACACAGGAGATTAGAGAATTAATGGCCATACTTTTTCAGGATGGCAGCTCATAAAAGCATCTCTTAAACATCTTACAAATTCAGGTTGCTGAAGGACTCAGCAGAGAGGTGGCCAGCTCTGCGCTTGCATGGGCCAATCAGATGTTTGGAGTTCAGTGTATTGCCCTTCTTAAAATAATGAGGTACACAATATCCACATATGACCTTCCTGGCCAGCCATGGCCTTCCCAGCATCTCCCCACACTTGTCATATCAAGAGTCTAGACCCTCAGTGCTCAGAGGCTCCCATGACTCTCCTGACCACAGCAGCTGTGTCTCCAGCTGCTGCCCACAGGTGGGTGTAGGCATGGAGTGGAGGGGGCAGGGGTCATGGGCTTCACATCCTAGAGCTGCATCTCCACACCCTGGACACGTCTGGAACCAAGCACACACACTGTGTGTGAGTTATTTTCACTGTGGTGGCACGCACACTGTGTGTGGCTGACTTTTCACTGTGGTGGCACACACACTGTGTGACCGACTTTTCACTGTGGTGGTACACACACTGTGGTGACAGACTTTTCACTATAGTGGCACACACACTGTGTGTGGCTGACTTTTCACTGCGGTGGCACACACACTGTGGTGACAGAGGACCTGACAAGACAGAGTAAGAGAGAAGGGGTCTTGTGTCCACACCTTGTGTCTGGAAGCAGACAGTAGACAGGAAGTAAGGTCGGGCTACAGAGGGCCTACCCACAGTGACTCCAAGTCCAGGTCTCTTCTGTGAGTTCCTTCCTTCTAATGTACGGTGACACGGAACACACCAATGTACACGGAGCACACCAATGTACACGGAGCACACCTTCCCATTTCAAGGCAGGAGTAGATACAGAGCAAGGAAAGATAGAGCCCTGCCTCCAGGTTCACTTGCTCGTCGTTCCCCAGCCTCTCTGTCCTGCCCCCCATCTCCCCCCACTCTACACTTCTACCCTCCCACCCCCCTCTGTCTCCCCCACTCCCCAAACCTCATCGCCTTTTGCACTTCTCAGAGTCAGGAGACTGCATGTCCCAGTGGCGGCCCCGAAATGTGAGTTCTGTCTCCCTTGGGTTTCAGTGTCTTGCTGCTACCAGACTACTTGTACATTGGTAGCAAGGTGACCGTTTATCACCCTGTCCTTGTGGCCTGTAAAAGAAAAGGCAATCTTTGGAGCACTTAATCATGCGTCTTCCATTTTCCCCACTGAGGGGAATGCTGGGCTGACTGAGACCTCCACTTCTGGGTCCTGGAGGCCTTGTATGGGGTGGCTGTACCTAAGTGGATCTGGTTCCTAAGTGGCTTTAGGAGGCCCTACCTTCTGGCCCCACATAGAGTCTTCTACCCAGCCACTGACACCGTAACTCTGTCACTCCCTCTCTGTCCCCAGTCTTCCCTACTTCTGCATGATCTTGTTTAGCATTCAGAGAGGTGATTGACAGCCCTGCCCTCTGTGTACAGACGCATGTACATGTGTTTGAATTGTTAAAAGCACAGGCAAGAATATTTAAATGCATTCTGACCCAGTTTTCTTGTCTGCAAAGTAGACCTACCAACCCCTCATGCAGTTCGTGTGAGAAGACTTGAGACCGCTTGGCATATAGTGAGCATCCACTTAGAGGAGCCCTGCTGTGTGTTGACATGTAGATTGTTCCTGCCGAGGGGGGGAGTTCCGGGACTTGGAGAGCACCAGGGCTCCTGCAGACTCAGCCCTGTGGATGTTTGCTGGAAGCTGCAGTCTATCACTTACAGAGTCTTCACAAATTCAACCTATGTCCATAAATCTGTTTCCAAACCCGAGCTATGTGGGAGGGATTGTGGGCGAGAGCAGGACAGTTGACCCTGACCTCTAACTTGCACTTTGAGCTAAAATACTTACTATGGTTAGTCTTGATGACTCTGTTAGCTAACTTTTCTTGTTTTTTCTTTAGTCATGTTTTTTGATACGGTTCATTCTCGTCACTGTATTAACTCCTTATCTTGCTGCTCTGACCAAATACTTGACCGAAACAACTGGAGGGTGGGTTTATTTGGGCTCTTGGGTTGAGAGTCCAGTTAGTCCATCGCGTCAGTGGTGGCCTGCCAGCATGAGTGGCTGCAGGAGTGGGAAGTCCCACAGCCTCCCAGAACAGAGCCACCAAAACCTAACAGTTCCCAAGGGCGAGCTTAGCAGCCAGGTGGGTGTAGGTCTGCCCCTGAGTTAGCCCTGGGGTCCTGAGTCAGGTGTCCCAGTTGACCACACTTTGACCGAGGCCCGCCTCTGACTTGTGCTCTCCTGCAGGAGTGGGCCCTGACGAAGGAGAAGTCGGTGAAACACATGGACCTGTGCCTCGCTGTGGTGGACCGCTCGCCCGGCTCCCTCGTCAGGCTGCAGGGATGCCGGGAGAATGACAGCAGACAGGTGCGTCACTTGGGACAAGGTGGTGCAGGCCCCAGGCTTTCTCGCTGCTCACAGTGACAAGGGTCACGGCTTCTCCACCTCACACCTTAGGTCACTTGCTGTCATTCATACACTGGAGGTCTCGTGTCAGAGTCCCGATTTCACTTCCTTCCTCACATCAGAGCGTTTTATGTGAAATGACGTGATCCTTAAACAGAAACATTAACTACTTGTTTTCGTGCTTAACTTCTCAAAATTCTAATCTAAATGCTTAAACGGATGAGCCTGCGCAAGCACACAGACTCGGCAGCAGAGCCACCCACATCCCACAGAAAGTGGGCTTTGGGGCTTTAACTCTGGTCCTCTCCATGGCTAGCTGGTGTAGCATGACATTTTCCTAAAGTCCAGGGCCACAAGCATCCTCCTCAGCTCCCTGTCAGCACATCACAAAGGGAGCAGCCGTTTGCCCGCCACGCCCTGGCCTGTGTGGCTGAGTGTTTGGAGGTGTATTAATCGTCTTACTTAAGATCACAGAGTCTTAACCCTGGTGAGAGCTGAGGACCCTCTCTGTATTTGCTTCTTCCACTGGGTCAGAACTTCCTGGAAGCCTTGGAAGCTGGTCTTATGTGCACACTCCCCTTCTGAGCCCTAGGGTGACAACTGTCGTTAGCAACAGCAGTGCAGGGGGCCCTTCCAGCCTACTGCAGGGAGAGTCAGCCAGTCTTCCCACAGTCCCTTCCGAGAAGACAGATATGGGGAAACTGAGGCATGAGGACTACCAGAGCCATAACTAAGCCATATTCCATGCACCTGATTTCACAAAGAGAAGCAGAGGCCCAATTTCCCCGCCCAGCACTGCTAGGGGGTGGCGGCACAGCCGTCATCCAGTTCCTGTTTAGACCCGAGGTATCGGAGAAATGCTTGCGAAGGGTCCCCTCTCCCCAGTCCATCTCCAAAGCGCTGCTCCCATCTCTGGGTGCCTGTCCTTGCCTGCAGACCCCCAGCCTACCCTGTGCTCACTTGAAACAGTGGTCTCTGTGGTGCAGTTGTACGACTGAGCCATACCCTATAGGGTGGGATAGTGAATGCTGAACAGGGAAGCCACTGTGCCCTGCACCCAGACACCTAGACCCATCCAGGCTGGCATGGAGGACAGTTCCTGGCCACAGCCCAAGTGCCCTTGAGGTGTCTTTGCTATAGGCAGTGATAAAGTGAGACTTGAATCTGGTCTCCAAAACTAAAAAGAAAACAAGTCCTTGCTGTAAGCGTCGATAGAAACACCTGCTCCAGTGGTATTCTTGGGGTCCTTACCTGAGCTTCTCAGACAGGGAAAGCTGCACTTGCTCCTTCTGGGTGGGGAGTACAGCCTCAAGCCTCCACCTGTGGGGGTGTGGGAAAACGACTTCAGGAAATCCACCACACTACCACATCCCATCAGATAGACACCAGCGCTGAAGACCTCCTCCCAGGGCCAGCTGTGACTTCATTCTTTTCTTAGACATTCATCCCTGTCTAGTGGATGCTTCCACATGTGACAGACAGGGTCCCCCAGGAGCCAGAATCAGACTCTATTCACTCCGCACACTTTGTCAGGCATCTCCAAGGCCTTGGCAGACTCCAAGCATGCTTTCCATGACAATGCAGGGGACAGGAGAACTGACAGCCACAAGGACAAGGAGGGACAAGACAGTGTAGGTGGCACAGCCTCTCGGGCTGCGGTTGCCCTTGACTTCCGCTGTTGGCAAGGAAGCTGAGTGAGCAGGTGGAACAACAATCAGGAGGGTGGAGGGTCAGCCTCGTGCTGTGGGCTGTGCTTCCCACCCCCACCCCCCCAGCCTGCTGTTGGGAGGCAGCTCCTTGGCATGTCTCAGTGTGGTGCTTTACTGTTTGGCCAGTGAGAACATCAGGTTTCCAGGCACATGTATATGTGTGCATTTGCACAATCAGGGAGAGGAGGCAAGAGTGAGAAAATTTAATTCCACAGTGTCAGAATTTTCAGAAATACTTACCCCAAGGAACTTTAGTGCATACATAAAAAATTAATTAGAGCCATAGTCCTTGTTAATGAAAGGACCTGGGGGAGACCGGGGCGGGGGGGGGGGGGGAAATGTGTTATTTAAAAAACCAAAACAATTGTTTAAGTAGAATGTTTACATTACTTGCTAAACAATAGGATAAGGGCAACTCAAACTGCTTGAGGCTGTTAGGGCTTTGTGCGTGGCAGAGTGCGTTGGTGGGCTTCCTGGCTATGCTTGGTTTTAGTGTGCTAGGAGCATTCACAGGAGCATCCTTCTGGTGACCTGTGCCCCAAGAGTGGCGCACAGGGCATTGGGGACTCCTGACAGAGACAGCCTGGAAACAGCAGGTGTGTGCCTGAGAGCGGCCTGCAGACCCCACACGCCTCACACTCCTCCCCTGCTGTGCTCTTGTCTGTTGCAGAAGTGGGAGCAGATTGAGGGCAACTCCAAGCTGCGCCACGTGGGCAGCAACCTGTGCCTGGACAGCCGCACGGCCAAGAGCGGAGGCCTGAGTGTGGAGGTGTGTGGTCCGGCCCTGTCACAGCAGTGGAAATTCTCACTCAACCTGCAGCAATAAGAGGCCCCAAGGGCCCGCCGTCCACCTGCACACCAGCCCAGTTTGGTGATCACGTTATTATGTTTCTGAAACTTTCCGCAAAACTATATACCTCAGTGTTCCATCATGGTCTGAAAGTCTTAAGTCTTCAGCGAGGCATGAGCTGGGCTGGCGCTGTGCAGAAGAGGAAATGAGCCCCCGGGGCTCGGGACAGAGGGTCCCTCCCAAGGCTGGCATCCTCTGCCTCCCACTTTCTACTTTCTGCTCACTCCCCAGCAGAGGACCAGCCCAGTGCTGGCCGGAACAAGTGGACAAGCAGCAAGCATGTTTATCTTGAGGACAGAGGGAACGGGCAGCTGCCCTCACAGCAAGAACTCAAAAATCTCCAGTACGTTTTTTTACCCATCCAAAATCATGTGTGTGAACCAGGCATGGTGGCCAGTGCCTGTAATCCCATCACTCAGGAGGCGGAGGCAGGCAAGACCCTGTCTGAGGAAAAAAAGTGGTTTCCACAAAGCCGACCTTTCCTTGCAGACTTCCTCGTTTCTCTGTCCTTGCACCTCTGGGCGCAGCTGGCCTCCCAGCCACTTCTTTCTTCCACTGACATACTTGCTGCGTTCGAATACGGACTTTGCTATGAGTGGGACACTAAATAGAGATACACATAGAGAATGACGGTCAGTTCCCTGTGCTTCCCCACGTCGTCATCTTGTGAACCCCGCAGCGCAGCTCAGCGCAGCTCTGCAGAGGGGCCTGCGCTCCCAGAGCCAAAGGTGACATCACCATCTCTGGAGCCTCACCAGCCAGTCCATGCTGCTCTGCCAGCTGCAGGGGTCCCCGAACCACTGGCCCCAGCCCCCAAACGTCAGTGTTGGACTTCAGCTAGGGAATTGTGGCTGGGTTGGAACGTCTGCTTTGTGCCCATCGTCGTCTATAAACCTAACTAGGTTACCTCTTTTGGCAAGTTATTACTTTGAGTTTTCTTTTAAAATTAGATTTCTTTTCTTTAGGAAAACTCAATCCCACAGCTTCTAACTAATGTGAGCCAGCAGGACCCCACTGCCTTGTGACAGACCAGGACCCTGGACAGCTGTCACATGCTATTTCTAGGCTCGTAGTGGTCTGAGACCCTGTGTTTGGGTCTTTGGCACTAACTGAGCTGCCGGCAGAGCACAGAGGACCAGCCTTTTAGCGTGTGGGTGAACCCCACATGTCTGCAGCCCTGGTACAGGTGATACCCCCATATATAGCCACAGGCAGGTGCAGGAACTGTGGGTAGAGTTAGGACCATAGGGCCTGTGCATTCACACTGAGGACCCAGGCCTGTGTCAGCCACAGAGATGGCCTGGGTGCCTGCCCGGTAGGGCTGCAAGCATCACACACGAACATCTCAGGTGTCCCCGAGACCACAGGAACCATAGTTTGAGGTGGTCAGAGAGCCTGTGAGTGAGTGCTCTGCTTCCCACCTGCGCCAAAAGGGGGTGTGGCTAGTTCTCTTCTACTTGAGGAGCTCCATATATGTGCACACCATGACCACGGACCCTCTGGGAAGGCCTGGCCAGGTGCTGACCCTCTGTCTTTTCAACCCCTGCCAAGCAGCCAACAAGCGAGGCATTATAACAGACAGGGTGCCCTTGTGTCTGGTTAAGTCCACACATGTCCACCTTCCCAGGTCGGCTCTGAGGAATGTCACTCACAGGTCCAGGTGCAAGGCTGTCAAGGAGAAGGCAGGCGTGGAGTCCAAGCACAGTCTGTGCTGTTAAGCCTGACACCTCTGCACTGCCTTTATCAGAGTGAAAACCACAGGTGTGAAGCAGCGCGGGCTGATTTGAAGTAGGTGTAGGTGGAGCTTCCCACCACGCACCGGCACCCCACCCCACCCTGTGCTCTCGTCACCTTTTCCATCTGAGTGTCTGGCCACCAGGGTGCAACTCAGCCCGCCTCTGAACAGAGGGGACTGGGCAAGGCCCTGCCGTGAGCCATGTTTACATGACAGTGTGCCAAAGTGACTCACCATGCTTGCATTGTTTCCTAGTCATCGGGGCTATCCCACCCCCCCACTCCTGTTTTTAAAACTAAAAACTCCCAGGAGCCCTGGGCGCCCGCAGGCCAAGGTGGTTGTCTTCTGTGGTGGTCCTCCAGTCTCCGTGAAGCTGAAAAGGATGGTGTCTGTGAGTATGTTTTGCAAATTCAAAATATAGTTTGGTAATTTTTTTTCCAGTTAATTTTTAAAAGAACTGCTGTACAGAGCTTGTACTTTGTCCATTTTATAGATGGAAACCATCCTTGAAATTAACTTAAATAAAGAGAAGATACTTTATAGATAATGCCAAGCTGCCATCTCTCGTGGTCTCTCTAAGGGGCGGGACCCGGCAGAAGGCTGGAATCCAGGTCTTGCTTCCGGGCCCTCCACTACTGTGTCTCCTCACTCTCCTAAAACCCACCTCTGATGCTGGGCCTGCTGTCATCCGCTGTATTAATAACGGTTGGTAGCACTGTGGAGCAGGTAGTTAGGCTGTGCCAGGCACCTGCCCAGCCCCTTCAACGTGGTCACACTTTACAGATACTAAGAAAAAGCTGGTGATGCAAGTGGGAACCAGCCTAAAGTTGCCCTGATCCTGTGCAACCCACTTTCTGTAGTCTGCCCTGGACATTTGGCTCACACCCTCGAGGAACCAAATGTTTTACACTTAAGTATTTAAAATGCTCACCAGCCATCTGTGGCTGCCCCATCCATCCCAGCCTGGCACATGCCCTCTAGTACACCTTTGTGTGACTAGCTGTGTATCCAGGAATATAAACACTGGCCAATCGTCTGCAGTTTGGTCCAAGAAAAGGCAGTGAAGGGACTGACCAGGAGATGCCTGAACCTTCTGAGACCATAGAATGCATTCACTTCGTTATTTAAGACACCAAAAATTTGGCTCTGTGGCCATTTGTGAGATGAAGGCATGAATATAAAACTTGGTGATGTCCCAGGACCTCGGAGTACCTGAAGAGACTCTAAACCACATTTCTAAAAGGCTCCTATCCCTAGCTCTAGTCTGGGTGCTCGCAGGAGGGCTGTAGGATGGGTATACAGGAGGTCCCAGTTAGCCCAGAGCCAGACACACAATTCAGCTTTGTCATGACATGGTAGCCATGGGGTGATTTCTTTCAGAGTATTTCAGTGAGGTCCAGAAAGGCATGGGCCTTGGAGGATCATGGAAGGAGTCCTTGAGATCACCACTGAGAGGCATGTGGAATTTGGAGATACTGACTGTGGTTTGCTGAAGGACATCCCAGAAGGTTCCTTGTTACCCTTGAGCTGGAGAGTTCTCTTGGAACCATGTCACCTACAAGTAGTTCAAATAAAGATGTTCATTATCTCGTATTACAAGAAACCCAAGAGACTGGATTTCAGCTCAGTTGTGGGCTCAACACTGAACAAGCTGCCTGCTCCCCTCACCACCACCCCCCCCCCCCCCCCCCGCCCATGGCATAGGACAGACACCTCCGGCAGTTAGTCATGCGACTCCTAGGTGGGCCACCTCGCCTAGAGGCAGGATGTAGGCTCAGGAGCTTGGGAAGCAGATGGGCAGCTTGTGCCCTTGTCAGGGGACAGAAAGCAGACACTGCTTACTG